CATTCCAGTGTTGAAGTCAATATGCTTACATATGTTCTTTTTGTTTGTTTGTTTGTTTTTAGTGGTAGCGGGGTTTGAACTCAGGGCTTCACATTAGCCAGGCAGGTGCTCTACTGCTTTGAGCCACACCTTCAGCTCAGAGAGATTCTTTTTGAAACAAGTCAAGCTTCTCTTAAAATTTGTTCTTGTTCTATTACTAGTGGAGACAAAAATTACTTGCGAGAGTGCATGATGACATAATGGTATTTAAACATGCCCAGGATCAATTTGATACCAGCCAAGTCCTCCCAGGCTGCTTTTTCCATGGCTTGCTATGTTTTGGGAAGCACAGCTTTCAGTTATCCTCACTAACAATTTCTAGTGAGTGTTCAAATTTATGCAGCTTGTTGAATAAGAACTCTTGAGTACTGATTCTGGTATTACCTGTTTCCAGGTTTCTTGACCTTGTTCCCAGGAGACAAAAGGATGATGGAAAGTTGAGCTAGATGCAAGGCTAGTCCTGCTTGATCTGTGCCCCCAGACAGGCAGTGAAAGGGTCTGTCACCAACACTTATCTACCAGCGGTTCACAAATGGCTTCTCTTTTTCCTTCCTTCTCCTGCCCTACCTTGTTTAACCCAAGCAGGGAAAATATCATAATTTCATAGAAAAACATAAAATAAATTGGGGATAATAAAAATATAGGAAGAGGGCTTGGAGTGTGGCACAAATGGTAGAGTGTCTGCCTAGAAAACACAAAGCCTTGAGTTCAAACTCCAGTACCACCAAGAAAAACAATTTAGAGAGGAATAAAATAGTAATAAGGCAGCAGTTATGTCAGGATAATTCTGATGATGCCCTGATCACTGGGGGTCTTTCCTGAAAAAGAAATTCACCATGAAAATTGCCAAAGCTGTGCAGTATTAAGACTTCTTAGATTACTGAATTTGAATCCCAAGTAGACTCCAGTTATCTGGTAATCTTAGATTACAAGTGCCAAACTTTATCATGCTTAGTAGCTCAATTAGTAGGCTATTAGTAAGTACTACTCAATGAAAAGCAAAAATGGAAGTCAATAGCATTGCTTTGAAGGTGGGCTTTTTTGCATGAGTTTGCAGCTTTACAAGGTAAAATTAGGCAAATGGACGGTAGAAGAGAAGAGGAAAAGGGGCAGCTAAAATATGAGTAATTGCCATAAAGGCATTGTGACATGCTTCCCTGACCTACCCCATGCATTCTATGAGAAATCATAGAAGTAGAAACTACTTTAGAATGTCCAATTTGCCCTCTTTTCTACTCCTTCCTGTCATGTCAGACACATATCTGTGACCTCACTCAGTCATCTGCTGCAAATCCCCACCCTACCTCAGGTGTACAGTCTGCCCAAAGCCCAGCTTTCTCTTTATGTCATCTGCTTCCAGAAGATTCCATGCTCACTGTGAGTACTTCCTTAAGGATAGATAATAGTTACCATTTGGGGGCTTGCCACATATTAGACCCTTTATATATGCCCAGCATCTCCTAAAATCTCATACCACCTTGCAAGATAAGGAACATCCTCCCCATTTTATAGGTGAGAGAACAAGACTCTCAGAAGTTGACTTTGCTTGAGACCCCAGGTTAGAAAGCAGTAGAAGCAGCACTCAGATTCTGTACTTGTTCTGGTCAAACCTTAAGCTGATTCCCACTACACTGTGCTGTACCTAAGCAAGTGGTGGACCTAAGACTGCTCCTGGTCCAGCAAGTCCAAGTTGAATGAATGGTTGCCTCATTGGGTGGTTGTTGCCTGTAAAGGAATCTGTGGTTAGCTCTGCTACCTCATATTTGCACTAACTCTCTTCTTATGATGGGATTAGGGCTTCGCTTTGTTTTAAACCTTGATACTTCCTTTCTCTCTCTTTCTCTTTCCTTCTCTCTCTCTCTCTCTCTCTGTTTTAAATTCTACCACATTATTTTAAAATTAAAACAATATAAGAGTAGAAGTGAGAAATCTCTTTTAATACTATCTCAATTCTATTCTCTGAGTATAACTACTATTAGTTGTTCAGTGAGTTATTTTCAGAGTTTTTCTGTAATTTTATGTATGTGTGTGTGTGTGGTAGGAAGCTTTTCTGACTTCAATAAGCTGTATATCTTTTTTTCTAAATCATTGTCCATTCAAGATTGTAAACTGCAAAAGGATAAGATAAATGTGCTTTTAAATTTATCTGCACAGCACTTGGTCAAAGAAGCACCTATTCTTGATGGATTTATAGGAGCACTTGAGTTGGGGAAAGGGATGGAAGGCAGATTCCTCTAGAGAGATCTAGAGATCACCAAGAGGGAGGGACATGTGAGAGTCAGGGAAGAGAGCACGCTTTTGGTAAGCTCACAGCAACTGGCCCGACCTACCAGGGTGTGCACACAGTCCCCAGGCTGTGAAATCACTCATGTGTGAATTGTCTGGTGGCTGAGGGGAGGGGAGAGCACGGAGGAGGCAGGAGGACGGAATGTGGGCTGGGCCAAGTTTAGGATTACAAGTGCCACAGAGGCGTTCTTGAACCACACTTTAAATAGCCAGCACCTTCCCCTTCCCCTAGATGATAATTCTGCTCCAACTGGACCTCTGCAGAAGCTTCACTAAGGTCTGGAATGTTTTCTTCTCTTTCTTTCTTTTACTTTTTCTTCTTTTCCTTTTCCTGTTTCTGGGTTTTAGACTGCAAGGTTGGTGGAATCCATAGAACATACAACCAAAGGGCTTTTGGTTAGACATGTCCTCTCTTAGACAATGTTTCTGATACTTAGCATGCATACGCAAAGACTATATGTTATTTTCTTGATTTTTTGAAATTTGGGTGACTGATGACTTAAGGACAATGTGAGTTGGAGGAAAAATCCCATAGATTAAGAGGAAAGACATTTGGGTTTGATTCCAAGAAAACAAAAGCTTTCTTCTCTGTGAAATGAGGTAATGATCAACTCTTTGATAGGACTGAAAGAAAATACAAATTTGAACAAAGTTATATCTCCTTATTTAATTCTCATAGATAAGCATATCCTCTCATTCCCACTTTTACAGATGAACAAACTAAGACTGAATTATTTATTAACTTCTCTGAAGTCAGGCTGTGGTGTGAGAAAAACCTGAGATTTGAACCCAGGCTTGTCTGATTCCATAGCTCATGTCCTTTCAACTGCCCCATGCCACCTCTGAGAACAACCACAGTGAGGCTCAGGGAAAGGACTGCTGTTTCTCCTGGGGTCTGGGAGGGTGAAGAAATGAAGGGAGATGGCTTTCCATCAGTGAAAGAAGAGGCCCAGAGTCAACACAAGACAGCCTTCTCAGAAGGACCAAGGAGCCCCTTTGGGACCGGTGGCTGGAACTTCCACTTCTTGGCCCATAAACAATTTTTGGAGCCCATTTCCTAATTTATCAAAGAAGCTGAGATGCCTTCTGTTAACTGAATTTCTCTCTGACTTTCTGGATCCCTTGGGTAACCCAGCTGGGGATACAGAACCTAAGGAGAATCTGGGCCCAAGGGGACTCCTGCTGAGAAAGTTCTTTTAATATGAACTTCTTTTGAGGTTTGGAAAAAGCCCACCTGCCTAATTCTCTAGAAAAGGGGATCCTATAAAATGAGAGGAAGTCATTTAGAAAGTACTTAAAAGAGACATGCTGATAAACCAAGGTGGCCAAAGTAATTGGACATATGTAAGTGGAGGGGACAGAGTAGGTTCAAGCCTTGGCTGTGCAACCTGACCTGTTTGTCAACAATCATACTATTTAACTTCTCTGAGCTGCTGGTAAGAATACATTCTAGGATTGCAAGAATGAAATGAAATGAATGTATATAAAGTGCTTCGTATGTGGTAGTTGCTCACTATATGTGAGCCACATCCACCCCCACCCTCAATCCCAATAGTAGAATAGGGCATTTCTGCCAGTGAAAAGTTTAGAACTATGGTACTTCATTCATTTCATGTTATCTTCTCTGCTGTAACAGATTCTTACACTTGTCATTCTCACCCCCCCAAAAAAAAAAACCCCAAAAGGAGTAAGAAAGAAAAAGAAAAAAAGTCCATAGTTTATCTTTCTCTTACCTTGGTCTCAGAGAGAAATGAAAGAATGAGCACCTAGATGAGCTCAGCTCATCTTACTCAATCACTGATCCCATTCAAGCTCCCTCATTCTTTTGGAAGGATTTTAAAAACTGGCTTTTATTTTCATATTGCAAAAATGAAACATATTCTTTGATGAAAATGTAAAAAACATAGATAAGGAATATATTCCTATTATCCAACCACTAAGAGAGAAACATTTTGGTGGATATCCTAATCTTTCAGTGCATGTAAATACTTGTTAAGCATGATCATAGTGTATGTACTGTTTTTACTTCATATATTGTGAATACCCTTTTGTTTCAATGTACTCTTTTCTGTAACATAGTTTTTAATGATTACACAATAGTTCATTTCACATACACACACACATGCCATAACTTACTAACCTATCTACCATTTTTGGAGACTTACATATGTTCTATTTTTTTTTCATTATAAACAACATCCTTAATGCCAACTCTTTTACCCATAGCCACAATTACTTCCTTAGGGACAAATTCCTCCAAGGGAAATCAGTGGCTTTTTGAGTAAGTAACATGTCTTCCTTTCAGTGCTCCCCAGCATACAGAGTAAAGAAACTGGAGCACATGTTAATGTTGTCAAGGCTGACTGTGGAAAAGCAGGGAGAACACAGATAACCCAGGAACTATGCAAATTCAGGCCCCAACCCAAGAGAATCTGGGTGGTCGAAGCAAAGCCCTGTCCTTTAGTGTCGGTGCTTTTTTCTGAGACATGGAAGAAATATGTAGTCTCAGTATCTGTTATGCAGCTCACCAGTTAAAGAGATTAGGGGGGCAGTGGCCTACAAAAGAAGAAATTCACCCTTTTCCAGTGCACTCATTCCCTTGGGAATTTTCTGAAAGCAGGAGGATTTCCTTTGTGAGTTCCCAACAGTAACAGAACATCCCACTTGTTTTACAGGTAGGATGGATAGCAGGGTTTCAGGCACAACCAGTAATGGAGAGACAAAACCAGTGTGTCCAGTCATGGAAAAGGTGGAGGAAGATGGCACCCTGGAGCGGGGGCAATGGAACAACAAGATGGAGTTTGTGCTGTCAGTGGCCGGGGAGATTGTTGGCTTAGGCAACGTCTGGAGGTTTCCTTATCTCTGCTACAAGAATGGGGGAGGTGAGAGCCACCTTGCCACCCCACTCACCCCTGGAAGGAGGATGCTTCCATTTCCTGCACTTACTACCCTTCTGGGGAGTTGCATAGATGCCTAGAATGCTGCAGTTGGAAGGACCCATTAAGAACATTCTGCAGAAAGTCTAGAAAATTATGTGAATATCATAGGGTTCTTTCTATGATAGCATGACCTCATAGCAGTATGAGTACAGGATTGGAACCAAACGGATTAAGGTTTGGATTCTGGCTGTACTGCCTACTCTGTGTGATCTTGGGCAAGTTACTTAAGCTTTCAGAGATACAAAGGCTGTTTCTGTAAATTGAGATAGTAATACCTGTCTTTCAAGGTTGTTGTAAGAACTAGAGGTACCTTATGTAAAGTGCTTAATAAATAGTAGCTACATTGATGATGACTTTGATATCAAACTGTTCTGTGGTCTTGAGATTCCTTAGCCTTGTGTGTTCCCCCCCTCAGCTGGCACCATGACATTCTCAAAGCCATCCATTGCCCACCCCCACCAGAATCATAACCTTTGACTCTAGTGACTCTTCCTTTAAAAATTTCCCTGTGTATATTTGTGTGCATGCATGTGTGCGTGTGTATGTATTTGTGTATCTATTCGTGTGTGTAGGGAAGTCATCAACGCTAACTCTTTATTATTTCTCTATTCACTTCTTATTCTGCATTCCAGCCCCCCACCTTGGGTAACTCTTATCATCCCCACAGCAGTGTTGGTAATTTATTTTTTGAGAAAGGGCCTCACTAAGTAGCCAAGGCTAACTTCAAACTCCTAGTCTCCTGCCTCAACCTCCTGAGTGCTAGGGTTGCAGACATGAGCCACCATGCCTGGCTAATGATGGTAATTCTGGTAGCACTAACTCACTTTTAGGGAATCTCATATTTCTGTGGGAAGCCTCAGAGAGATCGGCCATGTGCTGCAGGGTTTTGCCTGACCAGTGGGTTAGGAAAGCTTACAGGGGTTGAAGATCTCAGGTCTGGTTTTATAATGAGGCTATATGCTGGGCTGGAGGAATGTCAAATGCAGAGGTAAGTCACCAGGGAAGATGCTGAGAAGAGTGATCAAGCCATAGAGCACAAGGATTGGAGGGTACTCTAATGCAACATCTACCCTTTTGCAGGGGAGGAGGAGTCTCCAAACCCACTAAGCTCGAGTTTCCTAATGATTCTGGAGGGAGAAAACATGCACCCCAGGGTTGGAGGTAGGAAGACCAGGAGAGAACACAGAGATGTTCTGTGCCCATAGAGTCACACTCTCAGGTTTGTGGCAATTCGGAATTGACCATGGGGTTGGAAGTTAACCTGGATTTTTCCAGAGGGAATGAGCTAATGTGCCCTTTCTCCCCAAGAACTCTGGTTAGTGGCCTGAAATCACTGGACTTTGCTCAGTCTGCACCGTGATGGAAGATGGGAGTCTTCCCACCTCTTATCTAGCCCTAGACACTCCCCATGCTTGTTGAGGAATTTGGGTCTAAACACCTTCCCCTTAGAGAACTAGGTGGAGGGATGAGGCTGGCCCAGGGCATAAACAGGAGTCAAGGACTAAGCTGTACACTGGGACTCTGTATCTGGAACCTAGTAACCAGCTTAGCCCCTCACATGGCAGAAAGATTAGGGGGTGAGCAGCTTTCCCCAAGCCTCTCTGGAATTGCATAAGTGTTAGCCTGGGAGTTAGCAAGAATGGCATGAAGAGGTAGGAAACAGCAATCTCCATGTTCTGTGCAAAACCACCAGGCTGAAGAAGAGGCAGTGAAGGGAAGCGGTGAAGGCAGCAGCTGAAGGATGTGGGGCTCACCCTGCTTCATTTGCCTGGCAATCTTTGGATGCAAGCTCTGTGCCAGGGCTCCATGTACTTTTGTGCAGGCCTGAGAATGCACTGGTTCTGTCTTGCATGGGAATGCAGTATAGAAGAGTACCTGCGGCTGCTGGTTTCTCACATGGGTGCTTGTGTGGGGAGGCGGAGGAGGTAGAATGATTGCTGAGGTGTCTTCCCCTTGGATGGAGCCAGCTTCCAGCATGCTGATCTCACCTGACAGTTGAAGACATTTCCAGGGATCCTTAGATCCAGCCAAGTTCTTTATTTAACCTTTAGGCCACCACACATTTTCATCCCTTGATCTAGCACTAGGCCTTAGCATGCCTCCTTTCTATTTGCTGATAGATGACAGCAGTAGGAGGGGACTGCTTTGAAGGACTTTGAAGCTAGAGACTAATACCCAGGTTTGCTCTGAAGGGCATGAGTCATCCAGGGCTGTTGGGTGAATTAATGAAAAGACTCCTTTGCCAAAGACTGAGCAAAGATATGTATAGCCATTACAGGAATCCAAACCTACTGTTGTTCTTTTCTTCCTTCCTTCCTTCCTTCCTTCCTTCTTTCTTCTTTCTTTTCTTCTCTCTCTCTCTCCTTCCATCCCTCTCTCTCTCTTTGGTTTTGGGTTGGTTTGATCCATCTCCCTTTGGTTTAGAGATTAAATTTAAATCCATGGCTAGCAGATTGGGACTTGGCCTTCCAAGAAGGGTGCTGGAATACTCCAGGGCCTTGGTAACCACAGCCTGCTATGGGCATCTTTCTCTAAGTCCACAGCTTCACACACATACTTTTTTGCTTGCTGCAGGGAGAGGGAAGGATAAGGTAGGAACCTTATTTTAATATATTTGTTCAGTGAGAATGTCAGTGATGAAAAAGTCCCCAAAGCATACTTCTAGTTCCAAATTCAAAATATAAGTGATGTCTTTTTTGGTTTCTTTTAGCTGAGGCCAGGTAGATGAAAGAATGGGTACACAGCTGCAGTTGAAAACTGGGGAAGTATTTTGAAGCCTATCTAAACTCAGAAGCAGTGGATGAGAGCATGTATTTTAGGGAGTTCGTTGGGAGAAATGCCAACCCAGGATGTTGTCTATGTCCTGTGGTCCATCCACCCCCAGCACCTGCCTCACCCTAAAGGGTCTCTTGCCTGTCACTTATGTCAGCACATAGCCAGTCAAGCCCTGAGTCTGACTGTCATTCAACAACAAATATTTATGGGATACCTAGCAAAAACAGAAATTGTTCTAGGTGGTTGAGGAATGTCTATAAGCACAACAGACTAGTGTCCTACCCTTGTTGGGCTTACATTCTAGAGGACGAAGACAGATAATAAACAATAAGTAAATGAGTAAATTACATAGTATATCAGAAGTTACTGAGTGCTATGGAAAAAGAACAAGTAGAGCTGGATAAAAAGGATTAAAGTGTGAGTTTGGGTGGCAGCAGTTTTTTAAAGAATGGTCAGGGTAGGTTTCACTGAGAATATCTGAGTGAAGTCTTGCCAGGAGTGAGTTGACCATGTGGCTATTCCAGTCAGAGGAAACAAAGGATAAGTGGTAGTAAGCAGGAGGCCCACTGGCTTGTTTGAGGAGCCACAAAGAGGCCAGTGAGCCCAGAGCAGAAAGAATAACTAGAAGGTGTGGAAAGAGAAGTAAATAGTGTGTGGTGCAGATCAGGTAGGCCCTTGTTGGCTACTGTAAGACGTCAGCTTTTATTCTAGTGACGTGCAGTCAGGGCAGAGCTCTGAGCAGGAGTGGCATGATCTCACATTTTAAAGTAATGTCTCTAACCATTGTGTTGAGAACTGATAATCGGGAAGTAAGGGCAGAAGAAGACTATATGCAAGGTTAAAAATCTTGGATTCATTCTTGATTCTCTTCTCTCTTAACTGTTGACTCTACTCAAACACTCAGATCCCAAATGCTTCAGAAGCTGGGCCTTCAGATGGGGCCTCTTCAGTTTCCTGGACCCTGGCTGCTGGCAGACTACGTTCCTCAGCACCGAGAATACCTCCATCTGGAGGTATTCTCCATGTGAGAGCTGTGAAATCCAACCACTTGCCATCACCATTGCTACCTCCCTGTCTAAATAATCAAGGGTTTTTAAATTTAATTTTATTTTTTACCTGAATACACTGTAAGGAAAGTGTTTTCATTTTCTGAGATATAAAAGGCCATGAAAAGAGCAGATTTTGAGAAGAAAATAAACAGTTGCATTTTTGGAATGCTGAATTGAAATATCCATGAAATATTTAAGTAGAGTTATCAGTTAGGCAGTATAATATATGAAACTGGACTTTGTGAGAAACGTCTGGCTGGAGATATAAATTTGAAAGTATAAGAGATCAAGAAACTTAAAGGATCTGGGAACAGAGGAAGAACCAGAAATGGAGACAGAGTAACTAGTAAGCAGGATGAAGTGTTTTGAAAAGCCAAGTAAAGAAATTATGTCAAGGAGGAGGGAGATGGGTGGGAATTGATTGTTGGAGTTAGCGGCATGGAAGTCATTGGTGGTCTGAATAAGAGCAGTTGCAGTGGAGTGGCAGGACAAACACCGATTGGAATGGGTTTAAGATAATGGCAACAGAGAAGAATTGGAAGTCGGAAGTCTGTGTTATTGGGACAACACGGGAACGAGTGATGCACGTGGCTTTGCATTCTTCCTCCTGGGTGGAAGTCAGCCAGTTTGAGTGTGGCATAGGAGTAGTAACGTGTCAGAGTAGCAGCGTGGATCCCGGAACTCGCCAATTGGCTGAAGAAATTGCAAACTTGAACTTTTTTCTCCAGCCTTCCATCCTCAGTTCTCTGGAAGGAAAAGCAAATATGGATCTTCTAGCAGGGTCTATCTAGCTAAGGCTCCAACCATGGGGATAAGGAGATTCTGGATAACTCAAGAGGTGGGATATGGGGAGGAAGGTGGTAGGAGATTTTTGTAATACAATTAAATTTGCCTTCTAATCTCAGCTCAGACAAAACTAGCTTGTCGGTCAGCTATTCTCACTTAATTTCCAAGTCTAGGTTGTTGAAAAACCAGAGGCAGAGGTCACCCATGCCTTGGTTTTGCTAGTCTCAGAGCAACAGATAGAAACCACCTTGAGGGAGGGCAGGTGCTTCCTTCCTTCCGAACCCCTTCCAAGTCTTTCTCTCTTCTGATCCTCAGTCCTCAAACACCTAGATC